GAATAGAATCTCACACTGGGGGCGGGGGCTGACAGTGGTGCAAGAGATTCAGGAATCCCTTCTTGGATGACTAGACAATGTAATTGAACAAGAGAGGCCTAACGACTGAAACTCGGCATTCCTCAAACTAATTAGGTGTGGCTGCATAGGGTGATGGAGGAGAGCGAAGATGGGGAAGGAAGAGGAACGTGAGGAGAAATCAGGGCTACTAGTGTCAATCAGCTCAGAAACAGAAGAGAACCAGGTTGGCAGCAGAGACCCACAGCCCCATTGGGGCCCTAGCTGAATGCGCTCACAGGAGTCTGAAGAGTTGGTCTGTCCACTTCAGACACCAATCGGTACCCCTGTGCTGATATGTTTGTCATTAATTCCACAGATTTGCTAAGTATCTATGTTCATGCCCACAACAAATGTGAGTGGGTCAGATGATAATAAAACAAATTGATGAGGCAATTTCTAACAACAGTAGTAGCATGGAGAGACCTGTTTCATTTAAGGGGATCCCAAAGGTCCTCTTGGAGGAGTGACATGAAGAGAGCCCTGAATGACGAGAAGATGATGACCGACAGATGGGGGCAATAGTTTTCTCAGGGGAAGAAAGCTTGGGGTAACGTAGGGAAGAGGGAGGAGGTCACTCTGGCCTCATGATGGGGGAAGGGGAGATGGGCAGTACCACTGAGCTCACAGGCAGTGGCTGGGAACTTAAGGCTCATCTCAAGTAGGATGTGGAAGACTTAGGGGGAGTCACATGATTTGCATTTCGCAAATGTTGGTCAGATGGACAGCAGAATATAAGAGGCAGGCTGGGAGCACGGAGAGTTAGGAGGTTCTCTTAGCCCAGGTAACAGGTGGCACCTGGGACAAGAACCTGCCAGGACACTCATTAGAGGCAGTGACATAAATGGAGTCTGTCTTTGGGCCAAAGCCTTTCTAAAGCAAAGAAAGACTACCTACCCAAGCGGCAGTTTGGCAGGCACAGCTCTGGCTCTTCGGTTGATTACTTACTTACAAGGAAGCTCAGATCGCCCACTTAAAGCTGCCAATCATTACATTAGTGCATCCTAGTGGCTAAAAGAAATGCAGGAACTGGAGGAGCAGCAACTGGGGTACCCTGGAAACAGGACTTAGGAGCCTTCATTTGCAGGGAGAGCAATGGGGTGGGTCGGTGGGGGACACCTTTGACCACCCTAGAGGTGTCCAGAACTCTAGGCTCCAGTTCCCAACACCATTGGAGATTCACAGAAGCTCTGAAAAGTAGTGACTCAGGGGAGGTTCCTCCCCTGACCGCCTCTTCCTAGTCCGCTGGGAATGACTCACCTGCTCCCTCCCTCAAGAGTGACCCCGGGGCCAATCCTTTAATGAGTCTACACCTCACCCTTCTCTTCAGGCTGGGACAATAGACTGGTGGAGCTTTTGGCTCCCCAGGGCCAGAGGTTGTCAGCAACCACCCAGGTGGCTCCAGACACTTCTGGTGGGATCGGGAGATGGCTAAAAAAAGGCAGACCCAAGACCCTCCACTTGCACCGAAAAGAGGGTGTGTACGTGCCAAGGTCTGTGCCCACAATTTCTTCGAATTCGCAGAGGCTTTTAGCAGCATTTTGTTAACAAGCTTTAGTGTGCTGGGGAATAATACCCCCACCCCTCCAACCGCTGGGGAGTAAAACCTCGCAAATGCTAAGCACAAGATCAACCCGGAGAGTCTTGGAGGATTTTCTTTTGTACACCAAATATTGTTCGGGGTAGGCAGAAGTCCCCAAACTCAGAAATGCTGACACTGGAGGCTTTGGAAAGAGAACGTACAGAGTGGGGGTGGGGAGTTAATCAACAGACCTCCATTTCTGACAGGACAAGGGCAGCAAGAAGCAGGTACTTCAGGGAGCAAGGCGTGTGTGTGTGCGTGTGTGTTGGGGGTGGGAGTAGTCACCTGGGCCAGGTGTGTGTTGGGTGTTTGGGGGGCAGGTA